GATTTAGTTCGGTTTGGTATACAAGCTGTTAGGATTAATTAATACTAAAAGTCACTAGCTTTTCTTAGATGCTACTTGATGGATAGTCTACCCGGGGGTATCTTATCCGAGGGGTTATTGCGGAAATAACTTAGAGAGAAGTCAGAGCAAATAGGAGGGGAGAGAGTCGATTTATTAAATGAACTCAGCGTGTGAAAGTTGGATGTAGATGATTTACAAGGAGAAATGGACTGCTATTTATAGCAGCAATAAATGCGATGAGGGGACACGTGTCAGTAATCCAACGGCCGAAGGGTCACATCAGCCGGTTGGCACCGGCAGTGGTACATCCACCGCATTGATTGCGGTTGGCGGATGTGACGTGGCATTAAATGCGGTGGTTGGTTGTCTCCAAAAGGAATCTTCGATGATTGAGCTAGTTCAGCCGAAGGCTCCTTGTGTAGCAGAGGGCTCCTTGTGTAGCCGAGGGCTCCTTGTGTAGCCGAGGGCTCCTTGTGGCCGAAGCCTTGGTTCAGCCGAAGGCTTTTCTGATGCCGATGGCATGAAAATGCCGAAGGCTCATGTTTTCGCCCGTTTTTCTCCCAGCAGCTTCTTATGCCCAAAAGGCTATCCTGTGAGTTTTGGAGCCTTCGGCCAAGGAGGCTGAAGGCATCCCAGTGCGTATTCTGAGCTATTTCGAGGTTTGGGCCGTTACACCTGGGCCTGAGTTGTTCTCTGGGCCCTATGGACTTGTGTAGGAGAAGTAGGAGTCTATGGGCCGGGGGTTCCTGGGCCATATACTCTATCACTACTCCCGGTAGCATCTCAAAAAGATCTTTTAATTTTTGAAAAGCTCTTAAATATTGTCATGCCAAACACACAACTAGAAACTTTTAGGAACTTTTTGAACAGTACAAAAGCTAGAAGTCAGGGACTTATGCCCGCCAAACATAGCCTACGTTAAAACTAAATATAATCACATGATACTTTTTTATATGTAAAAGAACTTGAATAATCAATTTGAAATAAGAGAAGATCTCACTGTTCACGTGTACCTCTAATAATAAAATGTTAAAGGAACTTAAAACCAAGTACAAGTATATTAATATGATGCTTTTTAATTTTTATATACAGCTTGAATAATCAATTTGAAATAAGAGAATATTTTACTGTTTACGTGTACCTCTATTAAAAAAATTAAACTTAACAATTTCAACAAAATGGTGCTACATACCAGCATCTTTGTTAAACATTGTGTAGCCCATTAGCATGACAAATATTACAATGGGTCGTTGTATTTTACGTAGTATTAATTGAATATTTGAATAATATATTGTTGATACAGTTCAAGTGGCGATTGGACTGAAAAGTAATTAACCCATTAGCCCAAGATGTGTTTGCATTATTGGGAATTATGATAAGCATATGCGGTCTATTAAGTATTAACAATGTTTTTACTTAGACTGGAATCAGGGGCGAAGCTACGGCACTGGGCCGCACTGGGTCGGTATCCAGAATATTTTTAAAAATCTTTTTACACAGAATTTTTTATACTAAAAATACAAGTATTTTTAAAATTTGGGCTGGGCCAGGGCAGGGATGGCCCTCCCCTAGCTCCGCCCATGACTGGAATTTTCTTATATGATTTCTTCTGGTCTAATTTGATCTGTTAATTATTTATCTGTGACAATTTTATAACTTTTCAAGTATATTCTGATCTGATCTAGGGGTGTTTGGAACTGCTTCTGCTTCTGCTTCTTTTTTAAAGCAGAAGCAAAATCAGAATCAGTTTTCAGAAGCTGGTACATATTTACCAGCTTCTAAAAAAAGTGATTCTCGGAGTAAATTAGAGCACCAGAAGTGCTTCTGGAATTTCACCCAAACACTTCAGCTTCTACTTCTGCTCCCTGAAAGAGCAGAATCAGTTTTGAGAATCAGATCCAAACACCCTTATTCTAATAACCATTAACCTCCCAATTCGCTTTTTTGTTCGTATACAAGAAAGGTATTACGACAACCTAATTAGCCATTCAAATGTGAGACCTAGGTTGCCCAATTGTATGAAGATGTTAATTATAATCATGTTACAGAACAGGCGGAATATAAATCACTTACTCCCTCCGTCCCCTTTTAAACGGGACGGGAGATGGTGGCACGAGTTTTAAGAAAAATGAGTTTGTGTGGTTGATATTAATTGATAAAATAAGAATAAAGTAAGAATGATTTTGAGCCACACAAAGTTTACCAAATAAGGTATGAGGCAATTAAATAGGGACATCCCAATATGGTAAAACGGGACATTTAAAAGGGGACGGAGGGAGTATGTGCTAAAGAACTTCCTTTGTGAGAGGATTTGATATCAAATACGGAGTATTAAAGAGATGAATTTGGAAGGCTTTTCACGTGAGTTAGCTTCTTGTACGCAAATGATACTTTGATGGGTTGAAGACTTATCAGATTATTCCTGCGACTCAGGGATGGATTTAGGGGGGGCGCGGGGGGCGACCGCCCCCCTTGGACATTCAATTTTTTTTATCATATATGTAATATTTTCATAAAACTTTCATAATTTAATTAGATTCGCCCCCCTTAGCTTTTAATTTTCAAAGTTAGTATATAGTCTTACATAATGTAATACTTAATTGGAGATTTGAAAGAATAAACATCTAAAATAATTTACATAACTTAAACAAATAAACAATAGAGTAACTCGTTATTTAAGATTTAGGATACTTATTATATAAGAATTCCTAGTTTTGTAATGTTTAATTATCTTTATTAGATAACAAGTACTGGATTTTGTAAAACATATATCAAACAATATTAAATACCAGACACACTAATTACACAATTTTTAGATCACGTGAAATGAATCCAAAATATAAATATTTATAGACATTAGATTACATAATTCATTTACTTCTTGGTTTCTAAAAATAATTTATTGCATGGATAATAAACTTTAAATTATTATAGAATTAATAAAAATATTAAAATATAATATGTGCCATATATACGTGTGTGTGTATGTGGTGCACATTATTCTAAAAATAACAATCTCATACATACTAGTATACTACTATTGTAATATTAAGAAAACTTCTCATGAGTCATGACTCACGAACACCCTCCTTGGTGGACAAAAATTACAATTCAATAACCGATTTATGAGGTTAAACAATGTAGAAGTTATTAAAAATGTATTGGTTGATGTCTTTGTCATCGTCTAAACTTAAAATGTATTAGATTTAAATGCTGTTCGGGATGTGTATGTATTAATGTCATTTTTTGAATAAAAATAGCCGCATAGTCCCACAGTAGCGAAAAAATTTCGCCCCGCTACACTAGGGGAAAAAAATTCACCCCACTACACTAACGAAAAAAAATTCACCCCTTACACTAACGAAAAATTTCGTCCCCTTGACTCAGAATCCTGGATCCGTCCCTGCTGCGACTCAACTTTTTTGAAATATTAGTGGTGCATTTCTTAGAGCCCGATATCAGTTTGAAAGAGTTGAGATCACACGGTGCTAATAAAAAAGGACTAACATATCACTTCGTGATGAGTATGAAGCATATATAATAGATATTTAAACAAACTGGAGCCTGTCTATCAGTCCAATATGGAGCTCGCCTACTAGTCATCCGGTCTATCAGCTCAACCGGAAGCCTGCCAGTTCAAGGGACGGATCTATGGTGTAACTATTGGGGGCACATGCCCCAATAGAACTTCGCTAATAGGAAAAAAGTATATAAAAAAATTGTATTTTTTAGTGGTTAGAGTAATTGCCCCCAATAAATTACTCCGTAATACTTTTGCCCATAATAATTTTTTCTATTCCAAGATAGAACACAAATATGCATGGTTATGATTAATTAAGTTCATGCACTTGGAATTAACTAAGTGTAATGGAAATAAACTAATCTTGATTCATTATAAGTCAAATAAATTTAATGTCACAACAATTTGTTAAATGTACGACAATTGCTTATCATATTAAAACAAAGAAACCACCACTCATTACTCCATGTTATGTTTCTTTTTGTTCAACTATAGCAATAAATATGTAAATCAATCTCTTAATATTTTCGTGCTTCGTCAAATTTGTAGTCATGCTTAAGATATGATTAAAATAAAATTTGAAGGAATAATTAAAAAGAGAGAAGTACAAGTAGAAATAATTCAACATAGAACGCATAGCAGAACATTTATAAAAGCAATTTTATCAATCTAGGAACCGAAAGATAGATGAATTATCAATCCGAGACCTGAAAGATGAAACGTATCGGTACAAGACATGAATGATGGAAAACTACCAATCTAGGACCCGAATGATCGAAAACTATCAATATAAGATCCAAGTTTTCATAAACTTTAATATTTTTTTTATTTTAAAAAATTTAAATATATTTAGTTTTATTAAACTAATAAACTTTTGTGAAGAAAAATCTATCAAATATTAGCAATGCAATTAATAAAGATTAAATATATCAATTCATATGAAATGGTAGGTCCTAGATTGATAGATTCTCATCATTCCGGTCCTATACAGATATACTTCATCTTTTAGGTCCTAAATTGATAATTTGTCTATCTTTCGTTATGTCTCGGATTGATAATTCGTATATCTTTCGGGTCTCGGATTGATAATTCGTCTATCTTTCAAGTCTCGGATTGATAAAATTCCTTTATAAAAAGAATAACACTATGTTATTCTAAATCGAAATTGTAAAAACAAACCAGGAAAATGTACAATTAATTTTAATTCAGTCTTACGTTCCGTTATGGGTGAGAGTTCTAAAGGATTATGCCCCAAACACAAATTTTTCCTGGATCCGCCACTAACCAGTTCAGTGAGTCTACCCGGCTATATGTCCGTTTTGGAGACTACCCAAACAGAAGTCTGCCCAATAGTCAAGATATAAGCCAGTTCACCAGCTTAATCGTGTGATTTCATTAGAGTCATGTGACACTATTTAAAATTTGTGCAAATATCCAGACATTTTGCCATATATCCCTATGAGAGTGGAAGTGACGGAAACATAGGGCGACTTGGCGAGTCAATTATATGTCAAACTTTGTGTGTAAGATGATAGATTAAGACCATTGAACAGCCTTGATTAAGGTATGCATTATTGTTAATCTTATCACGTGTTTTCCTAAAATTCATTCAATTCTGATTACGATACCCACCTTTGAACTTTGTTAATTTAGTATTCATTTTGAATCGAATGATTTTTTATTTTATTCTGAACTAACATAGCTCTTTTACTAAATTATGAACTTTGATCTTGAGATCGACCAATCGACTGTTAGCTTTAAACAGGAATAAAATCACTTCTAAATGCAACAATAGAATTGTAATTATAATTTTTTTATTCCCAAAACTCGTACTACGTATTTTATATGGAAAATATTACATACAATGTTTTAGGGAGAATTGTTCGTAGAGTTTCATTACCGAATGCCCCTATAAATAGGGATAGAGGGGTTTACAAGTACGGGCCAATAGGCCCAGATTACATAGAAATGACCCTAATACATATTCTATATAAACGATAGCACACTACATAGAATTTCCTTCAACACTCCCCCTTGTGCTGAGTTGAATAGAATTTGGTATCTGTGTTGTTGTCTCGTCAAAACCTCTGTCAAGTAATAAAAACCCTGCGGGAAAAATAACCTTGACTGGAAAAAGGAGTATAGCATCACAATAGACTTCGTCCATTAAGTCTGTCTTTATTTGATCCTTGCTTTGATCAATAAAGCGTATATGTATTGTTACCTCATTAAAAACCTTACCAAGTAACAAAACCCGATGGGAAAAGTAAAACTTGGTTAAAGGAAAAGAGTATAACATAATGTAGATGGGGAACTCCCCCTCAAGTCTACACATATCCTTAGTAATTACATTAATCAAGGATGTTTGGAAAGTCTATGCATTCCAATACTTTTTACGTTAATTACCTTAGCGAAGGCACACAAAATAGAGGAATATATTTCCATTAATTCTCCCCCTGTGTGCCAAGTATAAGGTGATAAGAGTAAAAAAAAATTAACTTGCTAAAACCTTGCCAATGAACAAAACCCAATGGGAAAAATAAACATTGGTCAAGGGAAAAAATGTGATGCACTAATAGCACAAGTCAATTACTTTTGACTGCGATATATTAATTATGGTCTTCCTTCAACATAATTTTACGTTTGAATTAAAATGTGGGATGGTGCATGTTGTGTTGCCTAAAAAAAAACCTTACCAAGTAACAAAACCCGATGGGAAAAAGAAACATTGGTCGAAGGAAAAAGAGTACAATGCACCATTATAATTGATGATAAATAAGTGTGTAAGTACTCCCCCTGAGTGCAACACATCAATAAGAATCTAACATTTATTTGATATATACTTTTATCAAGGTATTCCGTATATAACATCATGGTCTCTTTCAAGATAAATATATACTCATTAATAAAATATCAATGAGGTAAGGGGATACCCATCATCAGTAAAACTCAAATCACGTTACTTTGTGTTAGAGTAATACTTTTGATATTTTCAATTCCTTTAGAAATATTGTTATCATCAATCATTTAATTCAATTTATAAGGGATGAATAATGATTACTCCAATGGTTTCATAGATATATCAAAGCACATTCTTGATACCATTTCAATGGCGATATATGATGTGTTGGTCCTGATCTATTTTTAGCGAACACATTATTGAGAATGCAATACTTGGTCGAATGTGTTGGTCAAAGTACAATCATGCGCATATTGCACTTACATAGGGAATTTCTCCTCCCAATAACTTTTCAATAATGGAACTTTTCTAGTATCCATATTTCGACCAATCATGGGAGTGCTAACAGTTTACATTTATCCATGTCAATTTTGCCTGAGAACCCTTTTGGATATATGCAACTGGTGAATTTAGTATTCAACCAACTCGGTGTTTAATTTCAAAACAGAACCAAGTTTCCCAAGATCCTTTTATCTCAATTATGATTTTCAAGTATCTACGTAATGGAACATGTCTCATGTTCCATTATGAGTACATATTATGTCTATATCATGGAGATACAGTGATATTTGGAAACAAAACTTATTTCCATTATAAATGCGTTAGGCATAATATATTCATTTTGCATCCCTTTTCAGTCAAGTGGTCATTTAGACGGGTATGTCACTCCCGTTTGGATTGATTCATAAAAACATAACTGCTCTTAAGTAAGATTGAGACATTTATTTGGTGACCCCAATCTTTAGCTGCGTCTCCATTACTTTGGAGGCTACTTAAAGATTAAGTAGTTGAACATTTTTGTGTTCAAAATAGAGAAGTGTATGTAACTTTTCATATTTGAATCCAGGGCGTAGTGAGAATAATTAGGACCTCATTATCTCAATACGCTTTCTAACAAAGAATAATTTATGTCCTACAGGCTTTACACTTGGTTGATTAGCACTATCACACCAAATACCTGTCTCTTTGTTAAATATTAAGTTTATACCTGGATTACTTGTACACTTTTAGGCCAAAATTCTCATTGCTTTCATGTTGCAATAGAGTATGGTTTGATATCATCGTGCTCTATATTCGTTTGAGCAACCGTAAATATATCGTCAGTATAAGTGTAAGGTCTATCATTCGACTCATACACACTCTCATTAACATGGAGATTTTAATTCTCTGGAATCATTTAAACTTCGGGGCGTCCCCCATTATTGATTCATGGACATATTTAGTCAGAGATAATCTCGTGAGAGGAATTCATATGATGACGAGTATATTGGTTTGTGCCTTATCTACCCTCTACTACTTGGGGTGGATAATTAATCGAACCATGTGGCTTCCTTCTATTCCTTTAGAGAGCCACGGCCTCAATCACAACCCCACTGTTTGTGATTGCAATGCTTCTTCCTTTAGCATTGTGTGTTTTAATTCAAAATTCAAGCCTTATAAATATGTTTGCAGCTAGTGTGTACAATCTGATTACTTAAATCATTTACTTCAACTTCAATGTTACATTTTGAAGTCTAAGGTTTATCATTGAGACAAAGTAGTGATTACCATCATAATGATTCTGTCATTCAATTAGGGAATTCTTTCTCTAATCTCCCCTTAATGATAGGAAAAACAATTGTCTTGTCAAAGTGATATTCCGCAAAGCGGCGAACACATTATTTGTTAAGGCTTTTAGCGGATTATTATTGGGGATTCATCATATCCAACATAAACATCATTTGTCTTTTAAAACCGGTTATAGTGCGCTGTGGGAGGCGCATTATGCACAATTAGTTAACAACCATATATGTATAAGTAAAACATCTCAGGCTAAGATCCAGTCACCAACTGGTATACAGAAATGGTTGTCTACTATCGGTCTAAAAAGCAAATGTGTAAGGACAATATTGCATAATCCCATGAAAATAATTATATATACGTGTGCGCATAGTAGATATAATATTCACCATCTATATTCTTTTAGATGTGAGCTTTAGTGAGACTTTATTTTTACAGATGATACTCATTTATCTCAACAAATATGCAATACCCATCAAGTACTTTTTGATGAGAACTGTCTAGCAGTAACAAGTCATATAGAATTGATTGGTCAGGTGGTGGGCCCTTGAATGAAATAAATTTTTGCTAAAAGTTTAGCAAATGCAATATTTTATGTGACAAGAAAATAGATAACATAAGGAGATTTCTACCAAACCATAATTACTTAAATGGCCCGCATTTTGGTAGATGAGTTCTCACATGTCACATTATTTTGAAAAATGAGATATCTTCATTTTTATATCCTTAGCATAGACAAGTCTCGATTCTATTATTGCTAAGGAGTAAACTTTAAGAAATAATTGACGTGCCTTTACTATATCTGTAAGGCACAATAGAAACAGAACATTTCTTCTCATACTTTAGAAGATGAATATAATTTTCATAGTGAGTTATATCAAAGTTTACATGAGTCAATGACCATTTTGACTCATTCACTTCTTAAACATGCATTTTCTTTGGCATATATTAGATGTAATATAATATTTTCTATCTCATTTTATAGATAGCTTCTATGCAAAAACCTATTAAGGATACCCCGGCAAATATTGAAATTCTCGCAGTATGAGAGTTTGGGAAACATCCCTTCACAAGGGTGTATAAGGGGAAGTTTTTCTTGTCACTTTGACAAGAGACTGCTCACAAGGATTAGACTCATGACATGATTCCGTCTTACTCATGGTGGTGAACATTTTAAAAAAAATGGTAAATTTTGGAGCATTTAGAGGTCAAAGAAAATACAACTCTATTCATTTAGAAATTCAATATACAGGCAATTCATTGCCCTTAATTGATCATAAATGAAAATAAGGAATTACTTTAATAAATAAATATTTGTTCCTTAATTGATTGTGTATATCATCACATCGGGTAAAAAACACTTATTTGTTATAAGTTTTAATAATTTGCAATTGTCGCTCGTATACTTCAGAGCGCTATGATGTCAAGCAAAATGAGGTACATATCATTTGATGGATAGTCTACCCGGGGGGTATCTTATCCGAAGGGTTATTGCGGAAATAACTAGAGAGAAGTCAGAGCAAATAGGAGGAGAGAGAGTCGATTTGATTAAATGAACTCTGCGTGTGTAATCGGGATGTCGATTATGTTTTACAAGGAGATATGGGCTGCTATTTATAGCAGCAATAAATGCGATGAGGGGACACGTGTCAGTAATCCAACGGCCGAAGGGTCACATCAGCCTGGTGGCACCGGCAGTGGTACGTTTACCGCATTGAATGCGGTTGGCGGATGTGACGTGGCATTAAATGCGGTGGTTGGCTGTCCCCAAAAGGAATCTTCGATGATTGAGCATGCTTGGCCGAAGGCTTCTTGCGTAGCCGAGGGCTCCGTGTAACCAAGGACCCCCGTGTACTCGAAGGCCCCGAGTGGCAGAGGGCTACGTTCACCGAAGGCTCCCCAAATGCCGAGGGCTTGGTAATGCCGAAGGCTCATGTTTTTCGCCGTTTTCTCCCAGTAGCTTCGTGTGTCAGAGAGGGCTACTTCGTGAGTTTCTGGAGCCTTCGGCCAGGGAGGCCGAAGGCACCCCGGTATGTATTCCGGGCTATTTTGGGGCCTGGGCCGTTGCTTTTGGGCCTGAGTTGTCCTCTGGGCTTATCGGGTATGTGTAGCAGAAGTAGGAGTCTATGGGCCGGGGGTTCCCGGGCCATATACTCCATCAGGAGTCCCTCACTCCTTTTGCCGAAAGGTACTTGAGGGAAAAGGAGTAGATGTGTTGATTCTTCCGGGGCTTCATCGCCCGTCTGGGTGCCTTTGTTTGGGAACTTGCCTTCTGTTGATTGCCGAAGGCTTCCCTCAGTCCCTCACACGTCGAGGGTTTTCTGAGGAAAGCATAGATGTATTGTCTGCATGTATTGTGATGAGGGGTTGTACTGTGATGTTTGCCCGGAGGCCGTATGCGTCAATTGTAAATTGTTGCATGAAGAAATTTTTGTTGTGTATGATTCCCGAGGGGTGTATCCCAGTCCCCCACTCCTTTAGGCCGAAGGCAAGTTCGGGCTGAAGGAGTCACGTTGTGTTGATGAGTTCCCGAGGGGTGATGAAGGCTTATGCTGCTACGGCTCGAAGGCGTTTGGTGGAATTCGCTGTCCGAAGGCTGCGGTGAGTGTTAGCCGGAGGCTGCAAAGATGAGCTCGCCTCAAGTTTCCAAAATAGAGCCGTTGGAATAGAGCCGTTGGAGAGGGGTTCCACGTGTCAAGTTTTTGGTGGCTGAGAGTGGGCGGATGGCACCTATTGGTCAAACTGGCGGCATGTAATGATGGCTTTTCAAACGGAGGCCCATACATCGAGGCCCAAAAGCCTATAAATACCCAAGGCCAGAGTCATTTGTTCTGTGCGTTCCTTAAGCTATAGCGAAGCTCTGCCAAATTTTCTAGAGAGATAAACTCCCGCCCTCGATCAGACTAATCTTTCTGAGGTCAGTTCTTCTTTTGTTCTTCGTGGCCTTAGTATATTTTGCTTTTCTTTCCTTGATTAAGTGTTAAAACCAATTTAGAGCCCTCGGTTAGGATCTCTTCCCTGCCTATCTTCATGTCTTCTGCGAGTGATTCCCAAGATATCTCGAGGGACCTCTCGGTTCAAGCCGAAAGCATTTCCGACGTGGTGTCTTCGAGCGAACAGCCCTCGACAACTAACGACCTGGCCGTAGCTGAGGAAGTGCAGAGCCGCCTCCTGGTGGAGATGGAAGCTGAAGATTTCGAGCAAGTAATCGAAGACGAGGAGATGGCCATTGCGGTCCAAGTTGCCCAGGAGGCGGAGGAGAGTGAAAGGCAGAGGGTTACCGTTGCTATGCTTCCCCCTCGGAGAACTGGTGAGGCGAGTAGCTCCCGGCCCTTGGATCCGGAGCCTCTTAGCGTTGCCCCCGGAAAGAAGAAGAAGAAACTGAGGGCCGCTCCAAAGAAGAAGCAAGCGGCCGTGGACGCCGGGCAGCCGGTTGGGATCCCTGAGGGGCATTCATATTTGGACACCACGGCCCTTGAGGTGAAGACCACGGCGTCGGGCGCCGAATGCTTAGCCCTCCAAGTCCTCGTGGGGCCGTCGGCACAAGTAGTAGAACCGGGGCCTGACGACTTGCTATCCCATCCCCCCGAAGGGTGCTTTTCGGTGCATATGCTGTCGGTGGAGTTGGGCCTTAGATTCCCACTCCACCCCTTCGTCGTTGAATACCTGAGGTTTGTTAAATTGGCTCCCTGTCAACTTACACCGAACAGTCATTATTACCTGGCGGGATTCCTGGCCCTCTGCCGCAGCCGTGGGGTGACTGCTACGTTAGACCAGTTCTTCGTATCCTTCAATCTTTGTCGGGGAGGGCACTCGCACGCTGGGGGGTATGCCAACTTGCAGCAGGTTCCGGCATGGAAACTCTTCTCCGAGACCCCCTCCTCCCACAAAGAATGGAAGGAGAAATTCTGTTATATTCGGATTGCCGAAAATCCATTCCCGGGGGCCTTGCGTAACCACTTCAAGAGGCATCCGAAGGTGGGTAATGCAGCTCTCGATAAGGCGGGGAGGAAGCTCACTAAGAAGCCCGAAGGATCCAACCAAGTGATCACGATTAAGGAGGCAGCATCACCTGAGGAGTTGTACCTGCTGGGTTTCCGGCGATATCGCCTTCCGGGGGACGAAGACGAAAAATATCCTTTGATCGACCGGGGATATCAAAACCCCGAAGGTTGTAGCCGGGGGCTGTCTGTTACTGGTACTTAGGATTATTTTTCCTTGATTAGCCCTGATTCTAACCCTTCTTTGTCTTTTGCAGGTGATATTATGGATGTGCAAGCCTTCGCGCGATTATCAAAAAAGCTGTCGCAGGCACCGAAGAAGAAGAAGGAGGAAGGGGGACCCTCGAACCAACTCTTCGTCGACGATGTTCTCAAGAAGGCTGGGGCCTCCAAAACTCCGGAAACTAAGGAACCCCCAAAGGAGGTTGCTGCTGGTGACACCGGTGTTGGTGCCGGAGGCTCCCAAGCCGGGGAGCTTAAGAGAAAAAACACCGGGAAGGGCTCCAAGCCTCCGGTGACTAAGAAGCAGAGGGGGGCCGATGAAGGTAAGGGTGCCCCCCTTGTGATCCTTGAAGAGCCCTCCCCCTCTCATCTGGTGGACCTTGACGAGGGGGCCTGGCCGCAAGAGACGGTGCGGTTCTCCTTTAAGAAGGGGACTGCCATCGTGCACGGCACCCTCGATCCGAGGGAATATCTGAAGGGTGCCACTCCCCCTTTGGATTGCTCGACCATCGGTAAGTTCGAGGACGAAGCCCTCGAGCGAAGAGCACTCGAGGCCTCGGTCACTGTAAGTCCCTTCCCCTCGCTTAAGCTCATGCTTTGTTTTCTCATATTTTCTGCTTGCATGGTTTGACCTTGAATGCCCTCCCTTTGCTTACAGGCAAGCCTGGCCTTCGGAGAGTATGTCCGGAGGATGGAACAGGTGCGTTTGGACAAGGCAAAAAATGATGCTGCCCTGGAGAAACTCATCAGGGACCATTCTGAGGCCATCAGGTGTTGCGCCGAGCTGGAGCTGGCCCTTAAGCAGTCGGGGGAGAAGCTCAAAGAGGCAGAGGAGAAGGCCCGAGCCGAGGGCAAGGCTGAAGCTGAGAAGGCGGCTGCTGAGGCCTCAATGAAAGCCGCCGAGGAAGCGGCAAAGGCCCAGTCCGAGGCCGTCTCCAAAGCCGAGAAAGATGCCGTTGCCGCCTTCCAATCCGAGGGGTGGAAAGCAGATGACTTAGAACCGTGGAGGGCCTCGGTGGTGGAGTCTTCAGTGGATGCTTGGGTGAAGGGCCCCGGTGCTGAGTGGATGGCCCTAAAGGGCAAAGATTATTTTGATGGGGGCGAGTTCTTCACCCAGCGTCTCATCTACCGGAAGCTGGCCGAGCATTTCAAGATTCCCAAGGACAATTTCGATCCTTCGGCTTATGGTCTTCCTCCCCGGCAGCCTGATGTGAGGGTCCCCCTCCCGGAGGGCGAGGAAAGGGTTCAGCTTGCGGACTCCGAGTTAATGAGGGAGTATGGCCTCCATGATGAAGAAGATGCGGAGGATGACGCAGCCTCGAAGCCGAGGGACGAGGCAGCTGCAGAATCCCAAGCTTGAATTTTCTAAGTATAATTGAATGTAATAGTGGTAGGCTCCGGCTTCGGCCTCGTATGTAAACAAACATCCTTTGTTAACACTCTGTTTTTTTTTTTTTGAATGAATGTGATATGCCTACGGGCTTCTTTGATAAGTGGTGCCATCGTCTCATAGTATTCACTTTTTGATGAATGTATGTCCTCGCTTCTTTTTATATTTGCGTATGAATGATTTTTCCTTTTCTCTGTCTGGTTTCCCGAGGGCTAAAACTTCGTGGACTTAGAAAATCTTCTAAGTAATCTGGCAGCAAGCCTCCGGTTGTAGTGTAGAATTTCCGGGGGCTTGTTGTTGTGGAATCACCAAATTCTCCAAGTAAACTTGATCAGAACCCTTCGAATGTAGAGTAGAATCATCGGGGGGTTTGTGATTGTGGACTTAGAAAATTTTCTAAGTAAGAACTTTTGTCGTGAGCCTCCGGTCGTAGTGTGCAATCAAATGTATGTAGCCTATGATGTCCGTAGCAGTGATGCCGAGGGATAAAATGTATTAGGCTTAGGAATCCCACCAGGTGAAATTGCATCCTATGCCCCCGGAAGCCTTGGAACCCTTCATTTAGTAGTGTAGCTTCTGGCTATTGCTAAGTAGTTTGGGAGGCCATCGGCCATGAGTCTGTAGGCGAAGAATTGCCCTCCCGAAGGGTCCACATTTGCGGACTTAGTCATTTTTCACAAACTTTCAATAGGTGTTGTAGTGATGAGCATCCTTCGGGTCGATGAGTGACCTCCCGCGGGTGCTGATATGTGGACCTCGGCATTGTTGAATGAGTCGGGTGATATTCTGCCTTCGGCATGAAGCCTCCGGTTTGTGTAGGCATTGGTTTAGCCTGCCTTAGAACTTGGTGTAGCCTTCGGCATGTCACATAGTTGACTTTGATCCAACCGAATTTTGATCTAGGTGAAGTTTTGCTCTCCTTCGCTCTCCGATGGAATTCTCGTACTCCAGGGCTTCATGTAATAAAGCCTTCGGCTATGTAGCCAGATGATTTGTTGTTGCGAGATTTTCTTGTGCCTTTGTAGGAGCCTTCGGGAATGTCTACCCGAAGTGTTGAGCCTCCGGGGAGAATAGTATCCGGGGAGTTCCTTCCCCCCTACACATCCTTTTTTTTTTTTTTTTTTTTGATGGTGTAGGAGAGGCATCTAGGAACTTGGTTTCTAGGAAAGGCTTGGCCTATATGGGAGGCAACGGAACAAACCGTTGGCTCCCCCTTCGGGAATGACCTTCCGATATCCCGAAGGGTTTGAGGGTCGTTTCCTTGGCCCGAGACATCGTCTGTTGCCTGCTTCCCCTTGGGAGATAGCACGGAAAGCGCCTCGGTTTTGAAAGTCGTCCCCTCAGCCCGAGACATGGTCTGTTGCCTGCTTCCCCTTGGGAGATAGCGCGGGGAGCGTTTCGTTTGTGGAAGTCGAATCCTGGGCCCGGGACATGGTCCGTTGCCTGCCTCCCCTTGGGGGACGGCGCGGAAAGCGTTCCTGGGAAGGGTTTTATTTGTGTGTGGAACACAAATAGCCGGGGGCACTTGGTACCAGCCGGAGCCGAGGGGTGTTGCACCCCCGGTTTTTTTTTTTTTTTTTTTTTTTTTTTTTTTTTTTGTTTTTGAGAGCATGTACAATATGCATGACGTATGCATGATTGCGTCCTCGTGGGGTACGGCTTACTGAGAAAACACTTAGTGCCCCCAAAAAGTGATGGGGGTGACCCGTGCACCTGGTACTTGGTACCTAGATTGTTGTTCCTCCTTCATCAGAGAGAGGGGCCTTGGGCTTATTTTGGTGGAGGAATGAGGGCTTGGCCACTCATGTGTGGGAGAAAAGGGGGCCTTGGGCCGTTTGTACAATATGTAGGTGATGAAGGATTGGCCTTTTGATTATTCTTCAAAAACAGATGGGGCCTTGGGCCATTGATATTTACACTTGCTGAGGATGAGGGCTTGGCCGCTCATGCCTTATTGATAGAATTTGACAAGGTGGTGCACATTCCAATGTCTAGGGACCTCCGTCCCATTGGGGCGTTTGAGCTTGTATGTCCCTGGTTTGATGATGGCTGAGATGATGTAGGGGCCTTCAAACTTGGGCGCCATCTTTCCGCCTTCGGTGGGTAGGCTGGCCTCCCTTCGTCGGAGGACGTAGTCTCCCACCTGGAATTCCCGGGAGCGGACCTTGGCGTCGATGTATCCTTTGACTTGTCTTCTATAGTTTTCGGCCCTGAGGAAAGCTTGCTCTCGGCGTTCCGAGATGAGATGGAGGTCGAGGGCCATGTTGGCATCGTTGGCCTCGGGCTCATATTGTTCTACCCTTCGGGTCGGAAGGGTCACTTCTGTTGGAGCCTTAGCCTCGAAGCCATAGCATAGGGAGAAGGGTGTTTCGCCTGTTGCACGCCGAGGGGTGGTACGGTAGGCCCACAAGATGTTGTGTAGCTCTTCTACCCAGCCTCCCCCTTCGGCTTCCAGCTTTTTCTTCAACCCTTCAAGTAGGATCCGGTTGGCGCTCTCTACTTGCCCGTTGCCCTGAGGGTAGGCAACTGAAGAGAATGTGTGCTTGATGCCCCAAGCTTCAAGGAGGGCGCAGAAGGGGGCTGCCTCGAACTGAGTCCCGTTGTCGGAGATGATTTGTTGGGGGACGCCAAACCTCGTGAGAATATTCTTGAGGACAAAGTGACGGCACCGGGCCTCCGTGATGCTGGCGAGGGGTTCGGCCTCCACCCATTTGGTGAAGTAGTCAATGGCAACGATGATGTACCTGTTGTTGGAGGTACCCCTCGGCAGAGGGCCTACTAGGTCGATTCCCCATCTAGAGAAGGGTATAGCGGTGCTGATGGGGGCATAGTTAACCGCTGGTCTGCCGGGGGCTTTCTGAAAGTGTTGGCAAGCGGTGCACCTCCAGGCTAGATCGGCACAATCTCTAGCCATCGTGGGCCAGAAGTAGCCTTGAACTATGAGCCTTCGGGACATGGAAAAAGGTCCCTGGTGAGCTGAGCAAGTGCCACTGTGCACTTCCTCCATGGCGACTTCGGCCTCATCTTGATGAAGGCACCGAAGGAGGGTGCCGTTGTAAGATCTCTTGTAAAGCCTCCCGTTTTCGATGGTGTAGCTGGGAGCCCTCAGCTTTGCTAACTTGGCGCGGGCTTCGTCTTGGGGCAGTTGCCCTGTGGTGATGAAGGCGATGATGTCAGAGATCCAGCCCTCCGGCCTTAGGTGGATGTCCATGACGGGGCTCGCGTGGATGCTTGAGAGGCTGAGTTCCTCAATTCTTGCAATTTTGGAAAGGTGCTCGGGGGATTCATCCGAGAGCTTGGATAGAATGTCGGCCTCAGAGTTTTGAGCCCTCGGTATCTGGGTGAGGGAATGTGCCTCAAATACCTTAAGCAATTCTTTGGCTGCTTCCTTGTATCGCTTCATCCTTCCTTCCTTGGCCTCATATTCGCCGGAGAGTTGGCCTACGACTAGCTTGGAGTCGCACTTGACGTGGATTTGTTTGGCCTTCAGATTTGCGGCCAGCCGAAGGCCACAGAGCAGGGCCTCATATTCGGCTTCGTTGTTGGAGACTTTGAAGGAGAATCGGATGGCGTAATAGGCGCGGAAGCCCTCGGGTGTGATGAGAACTACTCCCCCTCCGCATGCTTTGGTAGCCGAGGAGCCATCGGTATAGAGGGTCCACCACTCATCGAGGGGTGCCGAAGGCTCCTCATCCACCGCTGATCTTGCGGTGCATTCCGTTACGAAGTCTGCCAGGGCTTGGCCCTTGATGGCAGGCCTCGGACGGATATCTATGTTGTATTGGCTGAGGAAGATGGCCCATTTCACCATCCGAGAGGAGCTAGTGGGACTCCTCATGAGGGCGCCGAGGGGTTGATGAGTGAGCACTTGGACCGGATGAGCTTGAAAGTAGTGGCCAAGCTTTTTGACGGTCCAAACGATGGCTAGCACCGTCTTCTCGACGGGAGAATACCTGA